TGGGACACTGAATCATCTGACTCAAGTATATGCTCATACTTGAGTATATCTTGTATTTTTGATTCCATTGTAGCCATTTTGGTGGATGTTCAGTGGTATTGCGGCATTTTATTTTGCATTTCTCTGATGACTACCAACACTGAGCGCCTTTTTCATATGTTTATTGATCATTTTGACATCTTTTTTGAAAGCCGTTTGCCCCCATTCTAATGGGTCATTTGTCTTTTTTATTGATTTGTAGGAATATATTTTTTTCTGGATATGTATCTGTTATATACATTATATTATACATTATATATTACATACACATATACATTACAGATATCTTCTCCTGCTGTGTTGCTTACCTTTTCACTCTTATTTGTGCCTTTTGTTAAACAAAAGTTCTTAATCCTTAGTTTGTCACCATCTCTCTTTCTATTATACTTTTACCTGTATTGTTTAAGAACTCTGTCTATTCCATGACCCTGTCACTGTGTTGTCTTGATGATTATATTTTTTAAGTTTCAAACATATTTACATGAAAGTTAAATATTTCCATTCAGATCTTGGATTTTCAGATTTTTTTAAAAATGTGAGGCCATGAATGCATGTCTCTTTTATACATCTGTGTATCCCAATAGCCTAGAAAGGTGGCTGCACAAAGTATGTCTCCCTAAAAATACTTCTTGAATGAATGAATAAATTCTTCTATTGAGATACAAGAATGTTCTATCATTTCCCCAAACACTTGAAACAAAAAAAAATTGAACTTTAGAATATCTTCTCTCTGTTAATCAAAATCTATATTTTAGTAAGTGAGGAATGTATATTTTTCACTTTTCTGCCCATTTTAGCCAGCACTGCTCTTTAACACAAACCTTAAAAATGATAACTACTACGGTATTTCTCTGCTCTGATCCACTTGTCTTCTTATTCTTGGGCCCAGGATGAAAGCACATTCATGAGGCACAAGAGAAAATCGGCATCAAGCTCAATCACACACCTGAACTGAAAGCTTCTTCTCTCACGTGGTACTTCGTGTCTACTTCCCTTTCTTTGCCCAGCACAAGTCACATGACCGAGCTTAAAGTCAATGGAGGGGGACATATACACATATTATTGATTACATGGTTTTAAGGCACTTGGCTTAAATGATAGGATGTATCAATGTCTACAAAATTAATTAATTTTCAAGAACAATATATTTCAATGGAAGAGGGCATTTTTTTATTTCTTCAGAGTACATGCAAAAAAATCATTCATTATTTATCTTGTAAAGTATGGAAGCAATATTATTTGAAAAAGCTAGGGGAAAGTTGACCCTACAAAAGGAAATCAAATTACCCCTTACTAAATCCTGATTCTTCACGAAAAATAGCCCTTGATTTGTGTATGGTATTCTATTTTAGTTGGGCTAAATGTTACGTAACATTTCTTCATTCTATAAGTGTAACACTTGGAAGTTCCATGTTGGGCCTGAAAAACGCGTGTCCATGCTTAATAGCCCTTGAATAGCACATAACATGAGTTGATTCATTCCCAGGTGTAACTTGTCTGAATAGTCCTCTAATTCTTACTCTCATTCAAAATTTTGTTCACCAAATTCCCCTGCTGTTGCAGACAAGTACTTGTATTCCCAGGCTGAGCAATTATTAATTTCTTCCCTCACTCAAATCCTGGCTTCCTCTCCTGTTCACTGCCACATAGATGCCTCCAGGAGACCAGTAGAGAGTTTCGTTGTCTTCATGTTCTGAATTGTAGCTATTTTTGTAAAATAACCTTCAGTTGTTTAACTTTGAAACAATTGTTTTAATTATAGTGTCTAATGCCACATAATAAAAATTTTAAATGGTGCAAGAATGGTGAGACATCTATAGGAGAGAGCTATTCTGAACCAATGGGAGTGAAGCTTAAGAGAAGATAGGTTGATAGAAATGTAATTTTTCTCCAGTCAGAATGTACCCCAGACTCTGGTTATGTCTCTGCTTTGTTGGCAGACGTCTCCTCCTTTAATGGGACTGGGACACCCTAATAATTAGTATCCACGTCTCCCATTTCTTTCTCTACCAGATTTTACTCATGAGAGCTCTATACCCACTTCCTCCTCATCCATTCCGTCAGTCCTCATCACCCACCTGTTTGGACGTGGGTTGTTCTACTCAATTGAAAAATACAGTAATTACCAGCTCTGGAAGCTTTTCTTTGGTTCTCACTTTTCTGGACCTGTAGCAAGTGTTTACCTGGTTAACTAACATTGTCTTCCTCAAGTCTTCTCCTACCTAAGTTTCCATTTCACAACATTATCCTGATCATTCTGACTTTATTATTGTCCCTATTCTTTCCTTCTCTTAATCAGGGCTGTTTCCCACAGTGTCTCTTTTTCTGTCTCTACATTCTGTCTCCCAAAGACATGCATCCTTAGCAGGTGATTGCCAACTTGTCTTTCTAGCCCCATTTTCTTTTCTGAGATTTAGTTTCTCATTTTCAATTAATGGATATTTTTTTTCACCATTAATGTAAACTTAGTGTGCCCTGAAATGGAAATTATATACTCAACCCCATATTTTCTTATTTACCTGTCTTTCCTATTTCTGTTAGTAATGCCGCTTCTCCCTCAGTATTTGGTGAAAAAAATTGACCATCTCAACCCCCCCCATCATCACCTCATATCAGCTTGTCTTGATGATTCTCTTCTAAACTATATCAAGTCCATTATTTCAGTCCACTTACTTACATGTCGGTCCTTAATTAAAAATCTTTACAATGTTATTCACCCCGAATGCAGTCATATCCTACCTGGTTTCTCTGTAGTTAAATTATCTGTATCCTCCAGACAGTCCACCATTCGCTTGGTTGCCTTAATCCTGCCTTTGAGCAGCCTCTTCCCTTCCTTCACCCAATTTTTAGAGCCTTCCTTTAGCCTATAGGATAAATTCCAATCTGGCAGTTCAACTTTTTCAGTCCACTTAGTAGGAGAGATAAGAATAATAAAGCTATAAGAGGGGTTCACGTGAGTTTGAATACTGAGAAGCGGTGCATTGGGACAAACCATCTTATTCTAGGGTGAGAGAGGTGCCAGGCTGGACCAGGTACTGAGTCTAACAGCAAGAAGGTAATATCCTAACAAGCAGGAGGAAGAGAATGAGAGAGTGTGAGGCAATGAAATGTCAAAATGAGCAGGATAGGTATGTTTGAAAAGGGCCAAAAGCATAAAATCTGGAGGATAGATTCAGAAGCCAGGAAGGCCAGGAAAAGTGAGTTGCCTCTTTGGAAAGTCCAAAGCCCACATCCCAGGCTTGCCTTTGCTGATATTAGAAAATTTCACTCTAAAGATACTTACAACCCAGTCGTTCTTTCCATCATTGTCTTCTCTTTACACTTTTCAAGCCAGATGGACTGTAGACAGGCTAAGATTTGCTCTTGCCTATTTCTCGAGATTCAGCCCTTAACTCCCTCTTTCATACCAGCTTTCCTTAATAGTTTCCACACCTCTAAGGCTTTATAGAGTTTCTCCCAAAGTCCTCGTGTTCGCTGAAGACAAGCTCAAGCATCACAGTCTTTGTGAAACCTTCCTTAATCCCTTTGAATCAAATTTTGTCTTGTAAATACCTCTTTATCACTTATCTCACCTCATTTCAGTTTCTTAAAAAAATCTTTTTCATCAACTAGATTTTAATTTCAGGCACTGGTTTGTTAGCAGTTTTGCTTCTTTACTGTGTAGCAGAGAACTCAGCAAATGTTAATGTTCTATAGATGCATATTTAAAAAATGACAATTGGATGCTCAAAAAATGACTCTGCCCTCTTGCCTCCACACCTATGTTAAAATGTCTCCCTTGCCACGAATAAACCTTTCACCTCGATATCCCTCATCAAGACTCTCAAAATATTTACCAAGTAATGTAGGCACCATGTGATGCCCTGGGGTAGAAAGATGAATCAGACATGGTTCCCAGTTGCAGGAACCAGTTGCATTCTACTGAACCCAGGTTAAATCCCCCCAGCTGTGTAGGAACTTTGGTTACCAGCCCAGCCTAAAGGGAGCCCTGTCCGCCTCCAACGTTCATAATTCTGGTTGAGTGTATTACTATTACTAATAAATCAATAGCCATTAATTATTTAGTATGGTGCTCTTGAGCTGGTACTTGATTTTCATGTATGTTCTTGAGCTATTATTTGATTCTCCCTGTATGATGTGTCTGTTAAGACACATACATTTCATATCTCCAACTAAACTGGAAACTCTTTGAGAACAAAGATTATTTTTCTTAAATTTTGCCAGTTTCAATACATTAAGCAAAATGTCTTACACACAGGATGATCTCTATAGTACACATCGAGTTAGTGGGATACCTGATAGCATGAAGGTTGGGCCAGGTGGTGGTGGTGGGAGAACATCTTACAGAACCATCATAAGTTTCCTCTGCTTCCTGAGCTGGAGAAATTTCTGTGAGACAAGAGCACTGTGTGTCTAGGGCAGTGCTGTTAGGTGATCTGAAGGGCGAGTGGAAACCTTGGAACTCTGAAGGCTACAGGATGGTGTTTCAGAAAATTGACTCTGTGGGCTACTTTATAGCAGATCTGTCCAGTTTCTAGCTTCTGTTACTGGTCTAAGCCTTTAAACTTCAGAAGTATTTTAAACAAAGCCCCTTGTGTTTTTTTCAGTCATGTCAAAAACCCATTCACTTTTATGGCTCTGATAATATCATCATATTGATCCCCTAGTATCCAATTTTGGGTTGACAACATTATCTTTTTATGTTAAAGCATTTTGCATAAACTTAAAATTCATTGTATATTGATTAGTGGGAGTACAGGCTTGAGTTTCCAAGTATGGGTTGGCATTCACGATGGGATACATTTAAAACCAAGTGGCCAGGACCATCCCAAGACATTGCTGTGTATAATTCCCTGACTGCACTCACTGCATCATAAATAATAATGAAAGTAAATGTACGTTTATCAGAAAGAGTCAACAAACCCTGTGCGCTGATTTGCTGATTGCACTTGTCTCCCCAGGCATCAAGGCCAGCTTTCGAACCACGGTGCCTGAAGGTCTGATCGTCTTCGCGGCGTCACCTGGCAGTCAGGAAGAGTATTTCGCCCTTCAGCTGAAGAACGGCCGTCCTTATTTTCTTTTTGATCCTCAGGTAAATAAGTAATCGTAAGAGCCATGAGAGTTGATACTGTAAAGAGTTTACCGGGTACCAAGTGCTTATATTTTCACAGTGGATCCTCACCAGGAACTTAGAGGTAAGTAGCTCTTATTATCCCCACGGGACCAAGAAGGAAAATGAAACTTACAAAAGTGATGAGACTTGCCCGAAGCTAAGATAACAGAGCTTTAAACCGCAGGGTCTGACTGAGAATCGACGTGCTTGACAACCATATGCTACCTCATAATGAGGATTCGAACTTTTGAACACATTTGAATAGATCTGTTTTATTTTTCTTGAGCGCAAAATTGTCTTTATCTTCCCTCTTTTCCCTTTTTCCTTCCTTGCTTCCTTCCTTTCCCTACTTTCCTTCCTCCCTCCCTCCTTCGTTTCTTTTTTCCTTATTTCCTTCCTTCCTTCCTTCTTTCCCCCACCCTCTTTCTCTCTTTCTTTTTCTTTCTTCCCCAGCAAATATTTAAATGCCTATCAAGTGCTACTGTGTTGGATATTGCAGACTACAATAGTTTTAAAATTAAATATGACTGTTCCCTTGTGGAACAATGTGGGTAAGATACAGTAAAATAATAATAATAATAATTTAAAATGGTCATGAATGTTACAAAGAGAAGTACAAGATGGTGTATATTATGAGAGAAGAAACTAAAGAGCCTTTCTTTCCTGAGTTGTCTCTGTTCTCTGAAAATGTGATATTTAACTGAGATACACAACAAGGAGGAAAAGTTGGCCAGGACAAGGCTGTTTGTCCACACAGGAAGACATGTGTCTGAGGTGGGGCAGGCCAGAGGAAACACGGACTGGAGATGAGGGAAGGGGCTGTAATAAAATTCTCAGGCAGAGCAAATGGCACATGTTAAGTGCCTGTGTTAGACAAGAATGTGGACTATTCAGTACAGTAAGAGGCCTCTAATATGGCCATAGAATAGAGGACAAAGAAAACAATGGTGGGTTGAAAAGCTGGGTAGAGGCTAAGTAATTTAGGGCCTTATAAGCAAATGTGAGGATTTACATTTTCATCTAAGGACAATGGGAAGCTGTTGAATAGTTGTCTTCACTTCAGCTAAGTGACTATCAGTACGCATTTGACGTTAGGCACTGCCTTGGGCCTCTGAGTATTTGAGGAGTAAGACTATGTAAAAGATTTTTCTCAGGTTTTCAATTTAAAACTGCTGATCTAAGACATGAATCATGTATGCCAAATAAATATTTTACATTATACCGGTAAAACAGGCACAACGTTCCCGGCTAGATCTAAGGGCTCATGGGCCCGAGCTTCACATACCCTGGAGACCCACTCACCTTGGGGAGGAAAGGTGGGGCCTGCTGGACCAAGTGTGTCTGAGCATCGTCCCAGGCTCCCTGCAGAAGACCTCAAGGGGGCAGACTGAGTCCTTCCTGTTTCAGGAAGCTAGTAGAGCCAAGAGTTGGCAACTGGGGAGACCAGGGTAAGAGAGGTTTACTTCTGGTGTTTTAACAGTAGCCTGAGAACCCCCCAGCCTGTAGGACTCCTGCGTGTCCCCTAAAATGGCAACTTCTTAAGGGATGCCAATAGGTGGGCAGTGAGTAAGCAGAAAAGAAATAGCATCAAACCTGAGAGATCCAGCATCCAGAGAGAAAGGAATAAGGAGCAGCTGCTTCAGAAAGCAAGGCAGATGGCGTCTGGAAAGCAGCAACAAAAACAGCACACTGGCGTTGATTCAATTTCAGAACTGAAAATAGTATTTTTCATTTGAATCCTTTAAGTAGATTAGTTAGAGGAGAGACTGTTGAGCCTCAGGTTAGTAGGTCAAAATAAAAAAAATATGAAAAGATAAAAATGAAAGTGGCTACTAATAGTATTAAGAAATCCAAAAGGGAATAAAAAATATGCACAAGAAAAGTAAGGATGAGAGAAAAGAATGGAATATAAAATAAGAGAGAATATCTGATTTAAGAAAGAATCAATTATAAATTTATTAAAAGGACTCATCCAATTCCAGGAAAAATTAAGCAAAATTAGTGCTTCTACAAGACCTCTGTGTGACAGCCATTACTGTGTGTTCTCTATACATAAACAGACACACACGAACTCATTTAAATGTCACAACTCTATAGGTAAGTGATCATTATTCCCATTTTTCAGGTGAAAATCGGAGTCAAGATTAAATTAATTTTCCCAGAGTCATCCTGCTGATCTGTGACCAAGCTTTCCAACATGAAAGAACAATGCCTGTTGCTACCCAGAGGCTAGGTTAACATACCATCCAGGCACCATGTTGGAAGGAAATATTTCAGCAAGGCTTCTAAGCAAAAGCAAAAAGTAAAGAACCTGAAATATGAAGGAGAAGCAGTGGTGAATAATAAACAGAGAGATATTAAATTCAACCTAAGTGTTTAATGCCAGAGTGACTAGAAATGTGTTTCACAGGGCCAGAGAATCTTTGACGTGGAAGAGACATACAGCAAAGGAAAATCATTGGTGCTGTTACTGAGTTGAAAGAAGGGGAAAAATCAGTGACTTAAAAGTTTCTAAAGGTATCAGTTTAGTGGAGAAGGCAATAAGGTCATACTGGTGTCTCTTTCATAAATTAGACAAAAATGTTTGATTTTAAATGTTATGACTAAAGAAATTAATTACTAATAGAAAGAAAATATTCTAAGAACAATGAACAA